AGGTTGAGAACCACTGCTCTAAACGAAGCCGGTCACCAGTAAACACCACTGCGGCATTAGTTATGGGCAGGCAGCCAAGAAACATAATTAGCCTTTTGACATTCTTGCCAGACAATATTTGGAAAAAATAACCTCTGGGAATTATTAATTTGTAATACATGCAAGATTGCACAGAACACCCATCACAAATGTTTCAGGGTCACACACTAAGGCAGCGCTTAGGACTGTATTAAGTCATTTCACCCACTCCTTCCAAAAATGGAAAACCACTACAGGGCATGCTCATAACACATCCAGTAAAATCCCTATTATTTAGATTGCGGCTCCAGCTTTTAAATTTCACACTCCTCTGCACTGCCTCATTTTAGTTGGCAGCTACAAATACTCAGATGCTACAAGAAAGGCCAGGTTCCAGGAGGGAAGCAAGGGTGGACTGGGAACTGTATGAGGAAGCCTCGCCTGAACAGACTTCCAGTTTTGTTTCTAGATCGAACAAGTTCAGATAAGGATCCAAACTTCTAGCCCATGACAGACTGTAAAAAGACAGGTTCCTACAACAGCAGCCACAGTGAAGAATATCACACAATAAGCAATGGCAGGCAGAAGAGTCCTTTACGGGACCCCTGAATAAAGATGTACACTGCGATAAATAAGAAAAAAATACACCAACTCTTGTACAAGGAGTGGTGTGTGAACATCCAAGAGGCATTTCCTTCATGGACACTGCTCAGAAGTGAGTTACCAACTAAAGGGTCCATCCACAACCCTACCGGGGGGGGGGGGGGGGGGGGGGGTGTCATAACCACAACCCTACTGAAGAGCAGCCCTAAAAATGATCCTAAAATTTAAAAGGCAGAGAAAACCTGTATAAATCGGGAAAAGACCGAGGACAATCCAAGATACAACCCACATCCCTGCAAAAGGGAGACAATGAATTTCCATGTTCCCACTGAGCCAGAATCATGAGTTATATGCTTAATTGATATGCAGACAAAATATCCCAGGGCTGACCTTCCTAGCAGTGGTTATTAAAATATCCATCTATCTTATGAAACTTATAAGAACTAATCTCTTACATCCAGAAATCTATTCAGTTGTTCCATCAAGAGAAGCACACATTTGTTCAATCAGGTCTAATGAGTAGGTGCCCTCAGCTTCAACTCAACTCTTCCCAGGTCACCAAATGGTTCATCTGATTTGCCAACATAATCATTTCTTCTGGGAAGCTGTTGTGTTAAGTCCAAAAACTCCGCTCCAGAAACATTAAGGTAAAATGTGAAGGCACCCAATTACCAGATTTGAGTCTAAAATTTCCAAAGGCAAAAATCTGTGCAACAGGTGCTGATGTCAACCATCTAGCCCCTTTCCCACAGAGCTAGCTGCCACCGTGCCAGAGATTAGAGGAGCCTTTTCAATGTTTTGGCTGAGCTACCCCCTTAAAAAAAAAAAAAAAAAAAAAAAAAAAAAAAAAAATCAGCATGCATAAGCAGCAGCCTCATTTCCACTCCTACAAATGTTCTTGCTGAACTATTTGGGATTCCTGAAGCAGCAAGGATGGTTTAAGCATGGCAGCAGGGAGCTCTGAAAGCAAACCATGCACAAAAACAAAGAAGATCACTATGCTCGAATCTTTAAGGGCTTTAAAAAAAAAAAAAAACCAAGAAAAGTCATAAAACTTTCTGCCTTTTTTAAGATGCTCAAGGAAAAAAATGGGAAAAGGCTCAGCTTTGTAATGACCAACACTGATGGAATGCATCAAAAGAGTTTAACAATTATAAAATATCTTTTCCAGCGACATTTTTTGCATGTAGTGAGCTACATGATGACCACTAGGTTAACACACATTTAATCCTATGGGTCAGGATGACTGTGGGCCAAGGCAGCTCATCAACTAGAGTTCAGTAGTCTCCGGTAGGAGTTGTGTTGCATGATAATACGATTTCCAGGTAAGCAGATGTCCGTAAGGCCTGCCCCTTTTGGTGTCTCAACAAGAGGTAAAAGAATGACCTTGCATGGGAAACTGAACTGCTCTCAAACCACCTGAAAGAAGGTTGTGCAGTGCGAGGGGAAGTTTATGCTGATGTTATCCATGCTGCAGCTGCTCTGTGGATAAAAGGAAAGATTCCTACTCTGGCATCGTTCACCAGCTCTAAATTCAGTTCTAAAGAGATGAAGAAATACCTTTGTCCAAAAGACCATCCTCTTTATTTAAAGAGCTGTCAGTTCTTTGTACATCTGTTTCCATTATTCTGGAAAGCGGTAACTGCTCCCATACCCTGATCAGTCTCTGTTTCTCTAGTTCAGTGCAAGCTCCTGCTCAGCATCCAGTGCAATCTCGGTGCCTTCGCAACAGAATCCAGGGTTTACGAAGCCCACGTGAGATTGAACTTCTGGGCTGTGCCTCTATTTTGCTAGGTGTTCATTACAAAACTGAACTTCACTCCTAGGGAGGAAGCTCTAAGGTTTAGATCATTTTCCCTGGATGCAGGGTCTCTCTGGTGTGTAGTTACAAAATTTAGTCATTGCTTGAGTAGATGGCTAATGAACTGTGGACTGGATGGCTAGTGAAGCCATTAGACAAGGCCGGACTGTCACCTCCATGCACACCATCTCAGACAAAGCCAAGTGAGCCTGGAGGTTTTCCCAACTTGCCCTAACACAGCAATTTCCAAATTCTATGCAGGCTTTCACTGATTTCAGTGGGTTTGTGTAGGGGAAAACTCCTTGGAAAAAAGGGTTCATGGCCCCAGATTACACTATGTTAAAGTTCAGTGGTGGATCCCGTCAGCAAAGCTGCAGCTGACCCTGGTTAAAGCGACCTAGTCTCTGACTCAGCTGCCTCCCAAATCTGTACAATGGAGATAAAAATCACTTCCTCCTTCCCACAATGATACGCAAAAGCAACAAGGGGCTCTGATGCTACGGCAATGATAAGCACTTAAGACAGATGGGGCAGTGGGGGGAAACAACCTCTTAAAACTACTCTTCTATATATAGTGCCTATTCTAGGTAGATGCGTGCAGCTCCTCCCCTGCTGCAAAAATCTCACCGTATCCGTGCATCATTAGATCACATGCAGAGAGTCATTAAAATGTTCCCATTCCCCACGTCTGCGCTTGATCAGTAAAGAACTAACGAAGTCAGGAGGAAGAGACACTGGAACATAACCACCTTCAAAGCACTCAGCTGTAGCACAGGGATCAAGGGAACAATGCTTTAGGCTCAGCACCATTTTCAAGCAAAACAGATTACTTTGCTGGCAGGAGTATCCTGAAAGCAAAACCTCCCAATGCCTTGTTACAGACAGAAACTCCAGGGATCTGTCTATAATACTCCCATCTATTCTGGGCAACAGAACTACTCTGGTTTGCTGGACACATTATATACAGCAGAAACAACCTCAAAAGGCATTTCAGTGTATTCCCTTACTCATAAGACTTCAACCTACTCCAACTCAAGCACTACTGGAGTGCGGTGAAGGGTAAGAAATAAAACCTCTACCAGGGGAAATGGACTTGTAGTGAATTCACGTCAGTAAGCAGATCTCAGCAAGATATGTTGCAAATCCCAGTGAGTTTCTCATGGTGACAATTTAAAACTGCAGTTTTCAGTATACAATCTACTTACCTATTTAAAAACAGTTTCCACTCCCCTATACAAGTACATGCACATGGAAACACTGACAGAGATGAATATTCAAGGTCAGAGAAATTTTATGGCCTCTACTGAAGCCTGAACTAATTAGAAGTCTATCAATATGACCTCAATTTTTGGCATTATTTTCCTTTGGACTGCAGCACATATCCTGCATGTATATTAATCCCATTCTCTGCCTATCTATCCTGTTATTAATCTCTATTGTTTTGAATGTGCAATTTATGCTCTGGCATGCTCGACTGAAAACCCTACCACGGAAATGATGTTTTTCCATTGTAAAAAAGCCCACCCTGGGAGAGTGAACAACTTGGATTTCTATGGGAACACAGCCAGTAAAACGATATTTCTTAATGCAATAGATGCCAGCTGCAAACTGGGAAATACTGATTACCAAATTTGCCCTTCCCTTTGTAAGTGGCTCTATTTAAGTAAGGCAGACCTGCTGAAAATGCATGTCATTCATCTCCCCTTTACCTTCTTGGAGATTTCATGCATACAACACAGCTTTTGCATGTATAAGGTGACAATGTCAGCCTGATAAACTACATTAATAAGCAAAGGGACATGACTCATCTACTTTAGATACTTAAACAGGCTCCATTAACATACCACCAGAGTGCTTCCCAATTCTTTCAATGCAGTTCACTTGCAGTCCCCTTGTGCTTTGACATCTCCAGTTTGCACATGGAAAACCGAGCCAGGAAGAGACTAAGTGACTTGCTGACAAGACCACACAAGAAGTCTGTGGTAGAGGGATGTGAACCCAGTTCATCAGAATCCAGCTAGTCCATCACTCACTCACTCCTCTGCTCCAACTGCTTCATGTGATGCAAATTTAACATTTCAAACCACTGAATGGCATCAAACAGCCACTGGTTTTCCACCTAAAAATAACACACATACACCCCCCATCCTCAAAAAAATTTTCCTTCTTCCCTCCCAGTTGTGCACCATCTCTCCTCACCTTATCCTGTTCCAAGTTTCAAGACAAACAGTATCACATCCTGGACTAATGAAAGGCTGGAATAGAAACATGACCTTTATAACAACAAAAGCTGGGGGATTCCCAGTTTCCAGAGAGAAAAAAGAACTTGAGTTTGTTCCCCTAAGCATTGTTGCCAAAAGTACTGGATTTCAGAGTCATGATTTTATGTGAAAAGATCTACTGTAAGTCAAATTTTACAAGTATCAAGGATTTGTACAAGTTATAAGTTTCCTCCTGATCTGAGGCCTGCTGTTCAAGTGGCTTCACAACAACGACAACAGAACTTGCATCAGTAAAACGGCTGAATGCATTCGAGCATTCTTCAATAAATTCACGTTTGCTACATACATTACTGTACCTTTTCTTCTGAAGAGACCGTGAGCTTGTCGCTTGATATCAAGCTGCAGACCTGGTCCAGGCTGAGGCTAAGAAATTCTTCTCCTAGCATCACCTCAGGAAAGTGCTGCTCTGTTCAGAAAACCAACAGGTTAGAAAGGAAAATTATAATGAGACCCAGGCTTTAAGTCAATAAAAGGACTACAGCATCCAGAGATTCACTGTTATTACAGCTATGAGGACTCAAACGAAACAGTAGGCTGGAACATGGATGAATCAAGTAGGAAGTATTCTCAGAACGAGGTAAAGAAACCTGATGGCATCTGAAATAACATTTATGCAGGCCCATGAAACTAATTAACAAAGAGCAATAAATCATAAAATGGGAGAAAAGAAACAACTCTTGAGATGCCACCGCCCCCCACCCCCAGTGGATTACCAATGACAACTCACAAAGGAAATACTGGCTCTTTCTCAGACCAGTAATTAACCTACAGTTATGCCACCCCAGAATGTGAGCACAAGCTTAGCACCATCAGCACTGTTCACTACTTGGATGGGGAGACCCCAAAGTAAAACAACAGGGTGAAAAAGGATGTGGCATCGGTGATTCAGTGACACCGAGTCAGTACCCTAGCACTGTGCCTAGGCTTGCTGCCTCGATGAGGCATAGAACAGAGGCCCTGCCCACCTCCAGGAATCCCAAACAAAGTCCCAGCACTGGCATGAATCACCCCGAGTCTGGTACAGTCAGCCCCAGCATGCACAACCTAGCAGCAGTTTGCCCGCCACACAGAAAGAGAGGAATTGGAGTTTTCGGCTGAAAGACTTGTGGAGTCAGAGGATGGACTAAGAGCAAGAGTCTCCCACTGCCACTTGCAGTAAGGGGGCCCACTGGCATGGCTGACATCTGCAGAGATACCTGGGGAGTGGAAATAATGCAACTCCTGTCCCGCCAACCCCACACTCCACTGTCACCCGGGACCTGCGCCCCAACTCCTACTTCCTCTGAAGTCTCTTCCCTGCTCTCTACTCCCCTCCCACACCTCAGTTCTCACTCCCATTATGTTCTCCCCCCACCAGTTATTTTCCTCTCCTCAAACTTCTTCCATGAAAGCACAAATGCTGCCTCCCAACTGCACCAACTACCTCTCAAGTCACCCTTACCTTTTTAGGACTCAAACTATAAATGATCCACCACTCCCCAAGCTCCAGACACCCCCTCCTTCCCAAGTCTCTCCACTCCAGCTCCAGGCATCACTGTATAAAGTACAATAATCCTGTATTGCCCCTACAACTTCAGATAGGGAACAGTCTGACAGGGCTATTTAAATCTGCCAGTGCTGCCTGTTATCCATTAAATGCTACCAAAGGCACTAGGGAACAGGTTCAAATTAAAGTTGCATGTCTTGTTTAAACCGGCCGGCGTGTGTCTGCAGTAAAAGTATCTGCACAACTGCATGTTGGCTTCTTTTTATCCCCACAAGCAGCTGCATCTCCCATCACAGAGATTTTTGCAGCAAAGTTGGAGGCTTATGCTATTGTTTCTAAGCAAATGTTAAGTGTTTATTTGCATGTATATGCACACCTAACCATACCAGGGGTGAAGTGCTAGAAGGCTCTGCTCCAAGAAGCACCCACACTCATGTATCATTTGTACAGTGCCATTTACCTTGAATGGAAACACACAACTATAGGAACCTGGCACTTGGGGATTTTGTTTGGAGCAGTCACTTTCAGCACAAAGAAATGCAACCATGAGCATCAAGATCCGGGTTCGGGGATGAGACTGCATCCTGTTTTCCCCTCCATAAGGCACTTGGAGCATCTTACGTAGGCCCGAGATGACACAGACCATGTATGGTTCATCTGCTGGGGTTAGATGGGCATTTCTCACCTAGCCAATCCCCTTCTACTGCAGGGACCCAGAATATGGGTAGCATCTTACTCTTCTGTTCTCTGCCAGTGGCACAGTTTAATTATCTGAGGACCACCATGCTTTAAGCTTAAGGACTCTGGTTAGTTGAAGGGCTCTGAATGGCTTGTGATATGCTGGAGGTTAGAACTGATGACCCACAGGGCCCTTCTGGCTGGAAGCTCTTGGGCCGGGGAGGGATGGGGCTCCATGTATAGAGCCCTGAATGTGCTCCAGGCTCTGAATGCACCACCTTCACTTGAACTAAGACAGGCATTTGGCAGTACACAAATATTCAGCCTCTTGCTGTGTGCTGAAAGCAAGTAACATATTTACTGACGATGGTAAAGAATTCAGAAACCTGGGCCCTGAGCAAGGAGGCCTGAACATCTAGTCATCCTCAGTGTAAAACTAAGTTTTTAAACGAGGCATTTTCTAGAGCTCATGTAACCCTTGGGGTCTCTCTCACCGCAGTTTGCAGATTTCTAGCTTAGTTTAATGCTCTTACATTAAACAACAGAACTCAAAGAATTTTAATGGCATTTTTATTAATAGGGTTTTGTTAACATTACATCTGCTGTTGTGCTAACAGGGACTTACGAAGGCCAATAAAACAAGAAGCAGGCCCTCTAATTGCCAAACAACTAAATAAATATACTCTGAATGCACTGCTTGTTAGGTTAAAGATTAATCAGAGGCCTAGAAGCAAGGATAATGAGGTATTACAAGCAAACCCTTTCACAATTAACCATTTTTTCTGAGTGCATTTCCCTCCAGGGGAGAAGGCAGCAAAAGTGACTTGTCTGGATTGGAGAGAGAGAGAGAGAAAGTAGGATGACAGCTGTTGTGTCATCAAAATGAACCTGTTCTCTGATAAAGATGCACATCGAGCAGAACGCTGCATGTGCTAGAGCACCACCTGCACAGGAGAAAAGACAGAGACAAAGGACAGAATCATGTTACCTACCCAAGTAGCTAAAGAAGCCCGACGAGGGAAGCCAAACAAGTGCATGGAGAGAGCTACCACCCCTCCAGAGCACAAGGCAACCCCCAGGCTACTGGGAAAGGCAGAAGAATCAGAGCATGGAAGTCACACTTTGTGCAGTATTAGATTTCTGCCTTTGAAGCCAGCTAAGAGACATAGAAGAACAAATCCCCTGCCATACTCAGCCAGACAGAAAACCTAATCTAAAGCAGATACCACCAATGAGAAATCAACACTATGAGACACTTTATCATCCAAATAAGCTTGGCATCAATGCCACAGGGCAGATATTAACTGCCACAACTTCCTAAATCTTCATAGAACTATAGAAATCTATATCAGCTGAGGATAAGACCCCAGATGTGTGCCCAGACGAATGCACAAACTGCTGCTTATTAACCATGGCTCTTGCTGGCTTCTAGCTGCCAGACAAGAGGCATACGTACGGTCCTGTCAACATGGGTGACATTGCTAAGCCATCAGTCAAAGGGCCCTGAACATCCACTGTGACTGCCTTTCCCTACCTGAAAGCCACCAGAACATGGTTGGATGCATCTGCTGAGGTAAAGCAGAGGGACTGTGTTTAAGATTGTCAGCTTGGTGTGCTCTGAAGCTTGCAGTGTGGCAAGTGCTAGTGCCAAGCACTGCATTAAAGCTCTGCTGTTATGAGTCCTGGAGATCAATGCCTGTGAAAGCTGCAACACTAACATTAACTCCCAGCACTCAAGAGTCAGAGAGGTTGTGGGACACCTCCATAATGCTGCAGGCAAACAGACAGATGTGAACTGAGCCAGGCTCCTGTTTCAGTAGAATTTGCTGTTGGTGACTAAGCCCCTTCATTCAAGTTAAGTTTCCAGCTGCCCAAAGGTCACTCTTCTCTGCTTGTCCAGATTAAGAAGAGAGCTCTCGGTAGCTCATGTGATATACAGAACCACCACAGAGCACTGGACACCAATGAGGATTGGTGCAAGGATTGACTTTATTAAAAGGTGAGTATTGCTTCCTAAGAAAAACACACCCATGCTTCCTAAACAAAACATTATTCAGTATATTCACAAAAGACTGGGGTACTCTATCTCTATTATGTTGCACTCTGCAAGGTACACAGAAGTACAAAATAACGTGACTAGATGCATTTGTTAATGAGACTACAGATAAGTATTGGAGAACCGCATGAGAATAGCATCCTCCTCGTCACAGAGTGACAAAAGCCATAGTAGCTTGATTACACCATCCCGTTCCAAAGAACTTGCAAAGGAAGCGCTTACAGAAGAGGGAGGGAAAGAAAATTCTGGCCAGCCAAACAGACATTGCAGTGTTTAGTGTGATGATACCAAAATACAAACCATGTTGTACATGGTAGCTTACGCTGCCTTGTCAATGCATAAAGGAACTATTTCACATGACATCTGCCTGCATTTACACAAGACACTAAGCTGAAGTGCCTCATTGCACCTCCGAACTTTCCCTTGTTACCAACTGCCTACTTCATTTGCAGCATCACAATTGGTTACGACCCTGCCGTGCAGTAAGAAAGCCCGTGACATGCTCTTTGTGAATATTAAAGCATGCAGTGATTGTGGCCCCAGTCCCTGACAGTGCCTGAGAACAAACTCATCACATGGAGGGATAACCAGGACACTTTGCTCACCTGCATAGGCATTCGCCTGCTGCAGAAGTTCAGTGCATGCATGCACGTCTGCAAAGGCTCGAATTCCAAGGCAATTTGTGGGATGCAGCTGAGATTGGAGAAAATCACAGCAGTTTTTCCTAACGTCCATTAATTGCAATAAACTAGCAGCTGGCAACAACACCTAAAAGGGTGGAAAAGGGAAACTAAATTTAGCAACAGAGGTAGCAAGTTGATTCCTGGTATTAAGTCATCAGATGTCAGCCCCCTGTATTGCCAAGGCTGGGAAGAGAGGCTAAAAGTCTATCAGCATCTCTGGGCAATGGTCTCTTGCTTCACAATGTGACCGACAACAGCAGCACAGCACTTGTCCTCATTTCTTCCCTGCTGAAGGAGCACTGGGCAAGCAGGGGAAGCAGAAAGCATGGGCTACAGCAAACACACCTGAAATCCTGACTGCAACACCAGGCTGATCTTGCAGCCTTTGTTGTGGAGAGTGTTATACTGCTCAACCTCACACCCCACAGAGATGCAAACGCTTCATTATATTTAGCAACTCGGCCAGCTGGAATCTTTACAGTTCCAACACAAGTGCCTTTTATGTGGACCGGGGACCTGCACCAACGCGTCCGCAGGAACAGAACCGCTAACAAGTTTTCAGAATGGTTTTCAGCTACAGAAACACACTTGGGGCCCAGGGACCCGAATAGAGAGGGGCTCCTATTTTTATATCCACAAACAACTGCAGGTGCTACCGGTATAATTTAGATGTGTAAATACTTGACTATATCCACAAAGGAGGTACTTGAGTACTTCAAGTGCTGTAAACTAGGCCCCAAGTGCATGGATGAGGGATAAATGTGTTGGCAGGGATAAGGGTTCAGCCTGCAACTCCTAGAATTGTTCACTGTTTGAGAGAATGTCTCAGAAATAAAAGATCGAGCCAGCTGTCATCTCTGTTCTTTGCATTTCTTCTCTCGCACCTTTTGCCAATTGGAAACTAGTTCTCATCCACCTTCTCGTCGTTCTCGCTCGATGCCTGTATGCTAAGAGGCAACATCAGCTGTACATTAAGAGGCCTTCAAAGATGCCTGCACCACTTCTACACTATTTCCAGTTGGGGAAATATGTGCCTCAAAAAACAAGCAAGCAAGCAAACAAAACTTGCTGCAGCTAAGCTTTACTGTGAAGAAAAAAAAACTGTCTCCCTTTCTTCCCTGCCCCCCATCTAATTCCCCCACCCCCCCTTCCAAGATATCACAGTAAAGGACCAACCTGCCCTTAGGTACTTTTTAAGCCAATGACCCGTTCCAAGGTAAAAAAAAACCAAAAAACTAACCCAGCGGGATTACTCGTGAACATCACCAAGCAGCAATGTTTCAAGAGAGCGCTACAACCCCAACAGGCAACAATAAACTAAAGAAATCAATTAACCCACAAGACTGTTGGGCCAACACGCTTTGATCCCAAAAGCAGATTAGTTTGTCCAGTTGATTAAGCCAAGATAATGACAGTCTTGCCTTTTTAACTTCCAGCCAGAAAATGTCTGCCGTTTTCTCAAGATACTGCTAAAGCAGCCTCCCGAGTTCAGCGTGGGGGCACGCACCTAATTTATGTAAGCATTACAAGTAAAGAAATCACAGCTTCCCTAAGGGATTATATGTTGCTCAATCCATGGCAAAAGACCATAGCTTCCTATACATCTTCCTTAGCAAAGGGGACAAAAGGATTCATTCAGGTGATCTGAGCTACACTGTGTGTGAAAGAGGCCATCACAATAAAGCTACACAACAACCTGCTTAAATTTCCTCAAGCCTCTTCTATAAGAGGACAGTTCTGGTTTAGCATGCATGTGAGGCAGGAGGTAGAAAAGAAGTATATTAACCTAAATAGTGGAACAAGGCCTCGGGGCAACAGCATTTGACTTACTGAATGTTTCCATGACGAAATTCCTGGAAAAGGAGCACTACCCTCTAAAGCTTCGTAAGATATCATGATAAATAACCTATCAATGAAGGAATGGCTTTTCTGTCCTGCATGTCTCAGCTTTATGCCTTGCCACTGATCTTGTTTTTACCACAGAAAACCCAGCAAAGGATATCCTTCAGCATAATAGCCATTTCCTTTAGAAATAATAAGAGGAAATGCCCTGCCTAATCGCACATCATGGGCCAAGTCACAATCCCATTAAAAGCCAGGCAAGTTTTTCTTACGCATTTCAAGTGATTTGACTAGCGGTGGTGGAGTTCCAACTACCGGCAGTGAATGCCAAGCAGCTGCTTTTTCAACTCTATCATCTTCCTGTCTAAGGGCCTTAAAATCACTGAAAATGATATTTGATGAAGATGAATTTGAAAATGGTAACAAGAGCTACGCTACATTTACTTCTGAAGTTACCTTCTCCATCAGGCTGAACTCCATCTGGAATCTGGCACCTGGCAATACCAAATTTCATCAGCTGCTTGCTCTCACTCTAGTGTCTATCACACGTTCTGGTTTTGTGGCCTGCTGTGCGCACGGGGTTGGGACTTTCAAAACCAGTAGTTTGAGGTCACTGAACTGGTTTGGAAGCAGTTTTTCCAAGTCAAGTGGTACTGAATTTGAACTGAGCAAGGCAGCAGAGAGGAAGGGCGATCCACTGGCTAGGGCAAAAGACCTGGGTTTCAGGGATCTTGTTTCAGTTCTGTCCTCAGTCCCAGCCTCCCTGTATGGCTTGAGCATCTAACTTGAGCTTCTCTGTGTCTCAGTTCCCCGGTTGTGAACTGAGGGTAACAGCACCACCTGATCTTGTGGGGAAGAGAAGATAAATATATTAAAGCCTGTGAAGAGCTTGAGTAATGCTGTACTTGAGGGCCACGTTTATTTATTTATGCAATTTGTGCATATATGTAAATATATGCATTATATACGTGTGTGACACAAGTAAATCTAGGTAGACATCCAGAATGCACTGAGCAGACCAACTAATGCACTAAACATAGCAAGTCTGAAATAGTCAGTCCCCTTCTCCATCTTGCATGCAACCTCTTGGATGGATGGTACTTCACACATAGCTGTAGTGAACTAAAGGCCACTTCCTAACCAGCCTGCTTCAAACACTGCTGTTTCCTTGGTACCTCCCTTTCAGCAAAGCACTCTACAGTCTAAGACATGGAAGCAAGAGGAGCTTCCACTTGAAAGGCAGGTGGAAACACCTGCCATTTAATGAGGGCTGTGAATAGCACACAGAGCCCAGATGCAGCCATGTTCCTTTATTCTGCTCATTTGCATTAAGTGAGGAAAATTGCTTCATTATCCTTTTACTCTCCCACTGATGTCCACCTAGTGCAGGCAGTTGGGAATGAACTATTAGAAAGCACTTAAGTGCTTCACCTGTGGAGAGATGTGACAGAGGCACAGTGGGTAAAATACTTCCAAGCCGGTGTGTAGGGCACGAACCAAACAGATGCATGGTCCCACTTCCGGGATGAAAAATAAGAAGAAAGGCAGGAAGAGAGAGAGAAAAACAAGTAGGCAACAAATGGGCATGGCAGCAGCAACGCTGGTTGGTCACACTCATACAATACTCCTTCCCTGACTTATAGCGTAGTGTATAGCTGAATGGGTCTGTTGGCAAATGGCTGGGTGAACATGCTGCTAGCCACCTTCCTCACCTGTCAGGGCTTATGAATCCTCTGCTAGAGTTTTCTAGGTGCCATGTGTCTGTCAGTCTTCCTCCAGTCTTATCTAACCTGTTTCTTTCTAAGAGATTAGGGGGGACCCGAGCTTGGCTATGAACCACAGCAGACTGATGTCAAGGATTGCCCCACTCAGGACAGAACAAGAGCAAGGAGGGACAGGCCACCCTAGGACCCTGAAAAAATCTCCTTCCTATGCTCTCCTTCAGCCTTCACCACCTTCCCCGGGTTCTTTTTGTAAATGACTGTTCCCAGGTGAGAAGGATGCACACAATGCACCACAGATTCCCTGATTACACTTAATGCACTGTGTAATGCTATTTTTCAAATCCAAGTCTCCAGCTCTTTCCCCGCAAGTCTCCGATCTCCGGACACTGCTATTTTTTCATTCTACAAGTGCTACCCACATGTTCCTTCCTGCTGCACCAAGTACACCAGGTATCACGCATCCCACACATGATCCCATTCCTAATTTGGGAGTGTTTACTCCGTTTAATCAGGATGCTCCCAGGGAACCATTACTGTCCTAATATTTATTGATAATGACTTTCTTAATGAGGATGGTAATTTCCTGGGATGCCCACAAGTAATTAAATAACTTTAGAAACGCTCTCTACCTGGCCTCATGCTGTCAGAAGGCTCTTAGGGGTCCACTGCGAAAACCCCATTGCCAAACAACGAAAAAGCAGTCTCTCTGCATCTAACATGGTGGTTCCTCTCCTAAGGGCAGCTATAACATTCCTGCCAGGATGGGTTCTTCAGGCCTTGGGTCTCAAATGTACGCGAGTAGCAGCCTTTTTTCTAGGGGGCTTTGGTATCAGAGGGCAAGTCTACATGTGCAATTAAAGCAATGCAACACAATTAACTCCAGCAAATACTGCTCCAGAGTTTATTGCTCCTGGGCACCACGTTTACACGTGCACCCGGGACCACAGCTAACAGGGGGTTTGGAGATCAGCCTGCCAGCCCAGAGCTGCTCTGACTTAGCTCAACATGCTGCGAAGGGGCTGACTGGGACATGAGGGTATTCCAGTGCACGGCTAGCCAGCAGGCAGCCCCAGCACTGAAGTACCCTTGTGCTCCCACGAGCCCCATCAGCATCTACACATGCATTGCTGCACACTAAAGAACTCCTCCACAAGACAGCACTTGTATTTACAAGTACTAACCTACTTGTAATTTAGTCTACTGTGGCCTAACAGGGTCACTCGTGTAAACACAGAGACTTTACTGCGAAGCTAACTGGGCAGCTCCACAGGAAACGTCTTGTGTAGATGTGCCCAGAAAGATCTAGACTGCTCCAGGGAAAAGTTTCCAATGGAAGGATGGATCCTGCCCCTCCAAAATCACATTCCGCCCCCTGAGGTTATCTAAACTAGGTCCTGCACCAAGCTAACACACCCTATTTTCCAAGGCTAACATAATACAGGCATCTCCAGCGTATGTGCTGAATACAGTGCTGCTTGCCAACTGGTGCTGCTTCCCTCCTGAGCTCTAAGGAAGAGTAAGTGGTTTGGTGTAAACAGAAACCCAAGTAAATCACTTCTGGAGTCCCTCATCTCCCTGTCTGCAACAGGCACCTTACAAGGAGCATGTTCATTGCATGGAGAAAGGGAAAGATTGTTTTGGGAGCCCTGGTTTGCTCCACATCACACTGAGGCCTCGTGACCAGCTCACAGCAGATGGAAAGTAAGCTGGCAAAACCCAACCTGTCACCTGAACAACCCACCTCCCTGAATGACACATCCACGGCAGCCTGGACACACTCCAGCCACCTGGGCAGCAGTAAGCCCTGAGCCCCTTCCAACAGTGAAATGTGTTTTCTGCCAACACCTCTTTCAGTTAGGCTGCAAAATGCTGGCAAAGGCAATCAAGCGTACATGTGCTGCAGACACAGCAACATCAGCAACCGTAAGCTAACAAGCACTGTGGCGGCAAACCTTCCTAGTACAGACATGGTGTCAGAGTGCCCCACCTCCTCCCAAATACCTACACCACAGCCCTGTCACGCACAGTTTACCACTCACCAAGGTCACTGCGTCAAAGTTCTTGATTAACCCTGGCAGTTCAGCAATTCTCCAGTCTGACTGCACTTCAGCTCCACATAAGGAAGTCACTTTGAGCTCTGACAGTGCCAGGCCTTTGTTCCCCTTAGTGAAACAGCAGGTTTGAGGCAGGCAGTGAAAAGGAACAGAAGATGCATTTGTCCCAGTACAAACCAGATTTCTCTTAGCTGGGAAATCCATGGAACTGGCATGACATGCAGCCAGCTGGGGATTAGCAGAGCTGTACAAAGCCACACTGCTAGCAGACACAGCCCTGGGCTCTGCTCAGATGCACACATACTGCTTCCAGCAAAGCCAACAAGGGTGGTATGCAGGCATCCAGGGACTGGGATGAAGAACACAGAACTGGAAAGTATCCCCTCCGGAGTCCACAAGAAAAATTTGCTGGCATTCCCTAACATCCACAGACCCATTGTCTCCCTCCAAGGGATCCAGGGATGGACTGCACCCCATCCCTTGGTTGATCTGGGCATGTGGATCTCCTCATCAAAGAAAACTTCACAAACCCACTGAAGACAGAACACCCTGAACTAACACTGCAAATATGTGGCCTTTTCAAATTACTTTTTTCCTTATTTAGTGATCCTTATGCAGTTAAAGTGACAAAAACATGGGCCTTGGAAAAAAAACAGAGCTTGCCCCAATGAACAGTGCATTAGGCTGCAATGCCAAGCAACATACTGCTGTTAGAACAGGCTGGAAAGCTGTATGGACCTTGAAATGTTCACAACCAATCCCACTGTCACTTTTACTCATCTCTTTTCCTCTCCCCTCACTTTTAGTCACCAGTGACCTATGTCTTATTTCTCTCTTGTTGGCTAAGCTGGTTGCATCTGTTCACTTTGTGGCACTGGGCAATTCATTTCTTGTCATTTCTGTACTGAAAGCAGCTGGCACAACATAGTACCAACTCTACCAAGAAACTGTGTCTTATGAAAGAAGAGAAGGTCTAACAACTGGTCAAGCAGTATAAAATCCCTTTAGAAATGCACAGCTAGCTCATGAGAAAGAAAAATCTATGGCAGGAGAAGCAAATGCACCTGCTGGGTGAAAGGGAGACCCTGCAGTACTTCACACACAATTACTGCATAGGAATGAGTTTTTAGGGATGGTAAAGAAGGTATATCAACATAGCATAAAAGTAACTGGAGGGGTAGGGGTAGAGGGAAAGGAGTGGGACAGTGGTGTTCCCCAGCTCACCCTCCCGGAGTCTATTTTCACCTGGTCATTTGAGGATGTGTCGCTCCTCCCTTGTCCAACTGCAAAACCATTCAGAAAAATGGAATTTTGAAAATGCCAAACTAAAAGTTTGCCAAATAAGCCTTGGCTGTAGCTGAAGCCAGAGCCACAGTGAGGCTCCCAGCACCCGCTCCAGAATCCAATGACTAACATGCATCCCACCAGCCACATTTTTGCCAGAAATAGAAATGTAGCCACAGGGCAGCTCTGCTCTCCTGCAGTCCCACCCACAGGACAAGAGCAACGGCAGCTGCCTTACCTGCGGGCTGCTTCCTCATCTACTCTGTCATTTCACTTGCTCTTTATACCCACCTATGAGTATTTTGGCTGTTTGTATAACCTGTTGATTTTCAATTCCCACTCCGCACACTGTCCTTCTGTTCTTCACTTTATGGACCACCCCCCAAAAAAGCCGACTTCATAACCAAAGTTGAACCACACATCTAGTTCTCGGCTTTTATAGCAGCAGATTTCATTCAAATGGGCACTCCACTTCCCTCTCCACCCCTCCTGGCTGAAAACTTTATTGTGCACAGAACACCATGAAGGCATAAAGTGTTCTGTGGAAGGACATAAAGGGGAACCCAATTCCACTTACCCACTAGATTCAAGTTGATGCAACTCCACTGGCTTGAGCTACTCCTAACTTTTACTAGCACAAGAGCAGAATCAGGCCCCCTACCCCAAAGAGCCTCAAGTGTAAGCCACATGCACACAAGGGAAGGTGGAATAAGAAAACGTCTAGAGAAGCTCCAATTTTAACACTAAGCTTGCTGCACTGTTATAGTCTACTCAAAGCTACACACAGCAGCCCAAACTACCGCTTAGAACTAAAACCAAAGAGGAGTTCTCTCCTGGGAACTAACCCAGCAGTCTATTTTCTACATGTTTTCAGTGTATTTTGACCGCAAACAAACTGACCCCCAAGTTAGCACAACCTCATAGAAAGCAAAAGCCTAATCTCCTAACAGCAAGGCCTGAAGGCTAAAAGTAACGTGCCTCAAAACTACACAGAAAACTAAGGCAGTTCAACCTCAGCTTTCCATTCTGTGTGGCCTGAAGAGATCATTCACACTGACAGATACTTTATCTTCAGTTGCAAACCTGAGTTAGGGAAGCTTCTTCTCTTTGGTTTCCAGCAGAGTGGTCAAGGCCAGCTTACCTGAACATTTTCTTCGGTGACCTCTATCTCGGCTGTGTAGATGTAATCAATCAGCTTACTCAGTGTTTGCCCATCAACATCCTTTATTTCAATCTTCTTTGCTTTGCTTTCAGACATGTCTCCTGAAATTCAGTTCAAAAGAACATTTAGAATTTTCTTGTTCTCCTCCACCATTCAACTCCCCATATGCCCCCAGCAAACTCTCCCTCACATCCCACTTAAAAATATATCATGTTTAATGTCCCAAACACAGCTGCCACCGTGGCAGATCCAGGATGACTAGGAAGACTCAGAAGTCTGCTAGTGCTACCTTCTCAACCTCTGAGAGAGTCTTCATGAAGCAGAAAAAGTTTTTCCTCATAACCCAGGGACTGCAAGAAGGAGAGGTAGCACCAGAGTGGTCCCAATAGCTGTGGACAGACATAACTTTCTTCTGCTTTACATGAGGATGAAGAGTTGCCACCAGGGAGTGCAAGTCAGCTGTTGCAACTTAACTAATGCCTGTATGCTCCTATAGCTAAGGGACTTAAATCTCCACCTTCAACCCCGAATGAAACAGGAGTCATGTTAAATGGGGTCACTACATTTATACTGGTATAGGAACACACATATAAATCACCCAGAGACAGTTTATGCCAGTAACATTCAATATATCTGTCCATACCCTCAAAGAAGACCCAGGAGGGGGTCATTCCTCTGAGATTTCTACTTCAGGTCTCCAGACTGAAAAAAACTTGTGGTTTGGGTGAGTTTTCACATGCTTGGAAGCTTGCCTAAAGTAACTCCCCCTTGATATATACCCACGTTCAAATTTATACAAGAGAAAGAAAAATACGTAACAACTTTCATATAGATACAAGCACTAAAGGTGACAGAGAACTTGTCTTTTGACGGACTGAGAGAGGTCATTACAGACAAATCCCTCTTCAGATTACCCTCCCCCAATTTAGAAAATATAAAAATCACTGCAACTGGTAGAATTGTGCTCCAAGGCACAATTGGACCGCAACTTACTATTTGGCTAGAGACTCAGTCATCATGCCCGAGGCATTAAGAAATCCAAGTAAAGATATTAAGAAATGCTAAGTTACTATTAAAAAAAAATGCACGAGTCTCACCAGATACAAGAACCAAACAACAGACCCCTGAACGTGCAAGAACCTATGCCCACAGCTTCCCTCTTTCCCTAGCTGATCCAGAGCTTGACGCTGAACAAACTCTATTACACACAATATGCATGCGTGCGTGTTTGAGCAATACGATTTGGTAACAAAAGACTTCTTCAGGAAGTACAAGAAAGGAATCCCTGAGGCTCCTTTCAATGATCAGCTACAGAAGGTGACATCACATATCCAGGTTTGTCAGCAGCATCTTTGGAAACCAGAGAAGAAATAAGGGGGGGAAAAAAAATCATGCCAGCAACGGAAGTGAAACATTGAAAGAAAAAACAATGCAACTAGACAAAGGAGAACGTGAAGAAACATCAAATCTTTAATTGGGGCTTGAATAAGCACTACATTAAGAAACCCGGTGACTCAGTGCCGGCTGCCGTGGGATTAAAAAGAACAGTTCCATGTGCAGCCTGTGTGCAACATAATTATAGCCTGCGATCACAGAGAGGAAAGAGTAAAGTCATCTTTGACATGACAGTGTAGCGAGGAACATGAACAGCACAGCACATGAGGTGGAGTCAAACACAGAAGGGGGCCCAATTTTTAACACCAGCTTGATACTTGGAATTAAACCCACTTGGCTTTGCTCATACAAGCAAACCCAGTGATGTGAATTATACTATTAGTCAGAAGAAGGTGAGCAGATCTAGCCAAGTCTTCATACCAGTGCAGGATGCATGGAACTGTGTATACTCATGCAAAAAAAATGCAACAAGAAATGTCACTTCTAGGCGCACAGAGGGAGTTTTAAGAGCAAACCAGGATAACTGACCTCCAGCTACAAAAATCAAACCAGATTCCTGACTCAAAGCAGATCTAATATTTAATTTATGCTACGAATGTCACTGTAAAAAATTAACTCCTCCAGGTGAAGGAAAGTCCTGACAAGAGAACGCTACAGGTCAGTCTGCACGCGTCAGACCTGATCAGGTTTCAGAGCGCACACACAGCAGCATCACTGTCAGTCCAGCTGAGCAGAGACACAGCGTGGAAGCCCAAACACTGGTACATCCATTGAAACAAGAAGGGCAGAGGATACACTGAAATGCACTTCAGCTGAGATCAATCTGCAAATAGCTCAAGGAGATGGATCCGATGTCATCAACTCCCTCTGTGGCACTCATGCACGACAGA